CCGAAGCGGTACTTAACCTCTTGTCACTCACTGCGAAGTGCTGTGGGCGATGCGTAAACACAGTCAGCAAAAACAGATCGTTTCAAGATCATCGTCCGCATGTTTATTGCTGTCCGTTTGAACTTGATTGAAGATATGTTCGAAACTTGTGACGAACTGAGAAGCGTGTAACGACCGTGTAAAAATGCGCAATGGCTTTTTGATTGCTGAAATGTTGCTTTCGTCCTAGACAGCTGCATTTTGTTACTGCTGTATCCCAGCTGGCGAAGCTACTCGCTCCTCGAATGGTCTTCAGGCAAATTTCTTCGTTTTGCGTAGCGGCATCGACCTGTTGTCGACACAGCGACCACACGTGGACGGAACCTACATGACAGCAGTAATGACAACCGGTGGTGTACGGTTCGTTGCGGCGGCACAGATGTTGCGATAAACAGGTGGTTCCTGCAGCATGACTGATCTGAGCTGCAAGTGCAACACTCATGCAACGCTGTCAGTTGCTGTAGCGGGCCTCTATTGCCTCGGGGCTGACTCATTATTCTAGCCGCATATGATTAATTGGCATCGATATGCTTCGTGAGCTATCATCACCAGCTGCATCGATTACTGAGGTCGCCTCCGTTGAAGTACGATTCGTTGTTAGCCGCTTTGCTGCCATTCATGAACACGACCTCACCACGTTATTTACACGCCTCAGAAACACGAACCTGCGTGCACCTGCATTTCATTTCACAAAAGCTCAAGACTCTATGCCTATGATTTTACGCCACAGTATTCCAGTTTTGCTTTCACCTCGTAACATTGGATATCCACTGAAAGCCAATATCAGTACGTGTTTATTCTATAAGAAAACGTCAACTTCTAGGTAAACATCTTTAGGTTTTCGATTCTGGACCCCAAGGACTGTTTTGTTGCATTACTCCTTGCATACTCTGGCAATGAAAAACCGGATTTGTAATGAATACACTTCTTCTGTGGTCGAAAGCTTCGGAGACGATTGCATAATTGATAAAATCGTTTTAATGGCAAATTTAACCTGGTTTGTTTGTTAACACTGGCCGTTCGGTTTAACAACATTTTGGGTGTAAAGTACTGTTCGCTTGATGGACATCTGCTTTCAAGCATTCATTTGTGTTATGTCTAATCCTGATTATGCTAC